ATTTAGCTAAATAATATTTACACTAAACTATATGTTTAGTGTTAACGACTTGCACCCTTGCGGCGTGGTCGCCATACCTTATACTACTACTAATATGCTAAGTTATAGTCTAATCCATTATGCATTACTAGACTATAGTCTCTTTAAAATAACGTTCATATTCATGTAATTTTTTTCCTTTTTACTTTAACCCTATGGTTCTTAACATGTTATGTCATTATGCTAATAACATATCTTGCTATTACTTTAAGGATTCGGATATCAACTAGTCCTTGAAAACTTGTCTTAACTTATTACAGTCTGTTGTTCTTTACTAAGACAATGGTTGTAATATCTTTTTTTTTCTTAAAAGTGAACATACATACTAGTGTTCTATGTTACATTGATCTGCAGCGGAATTTATTTTCTAAGCGAGTGTAGTAGAGACCACTCCCGTGTACCCATGACATTTCTGCCACCCTTGCCTCCGCCTGTCCATCAAGCAAAACCACTATATGGCTGGCTGCTTACCTTTGTTACATGCACACGAGTAAACTGATGAGCTAACGCTTAGCATGTATAAACATGCGTACATCATAAACTAGTAAAAATTACATTAAGAGTTATGATGCAAATATGCTCGTGTATAACATGCTTTAAACTGCTTTCTGTCTTTCTGTTCTTACTACTGTGAGCCTGGGCCCCTGCTTACTATCTGGTCCAGTCGAAATCTTTACTCTTTGAGATTTTTCTCCCTTGAGAGGCCGACGACCCGTCAGTCTTTTACTTTACTAGCACTGCTTACTGTCTGGTCTAATCATAATCTCTACTCTTTGAGATTTTCCTCCCTTGAGAGGCCGACGACCCATAAGTCTTTTTACATTTCTGAACTTTGGGGTTTTCACTTCAAAGTGTCAAAAACTTTACTGAATGATATGCAACATTTCTCGACGTGCACATGCTAACATAAAATGTATAATACTTCTTGCATACTTTAACTGTGCATAAGGGTAGCCATATGTCACCTTTCTGCAATCTAGAGCACTAAGCCCTCCAAACACGTATAATCACATAGACTTCGGAACATAAGTAAATTCATAGTTCTAAGTCTAACTACAGCTTACTCGAGTATAGATAAACATATATGTCTATACTTACAAATAATCCGCTAGGATTCCCGCTTGCTGGAAGTTCTTCTCGTTGCTTCGGCTCTCGTGCCAAAACATGTTTCATGGAAATAAGTATCAATTCCCTATTCCAAATCACAATTCCTCATACTTAGATTCTTAAATCTAATTTCAAACTCGTTTCTGAACTTTTTCCCCTTAAGGCCGAATTCTAGCTCAAGAGGCAATTTACACATATTTGTGTATCTTGGTTTCTGAATCTTAATCTATTCATTTTTTAGCTTTAAAACCGTTATCCATTCTCTAGAATCGGATTACTAACTCATGGCTTACTAACTAGATTTTAGGAAATTTCGGCAAAGTTTCGCCTTATTTTTTTTCGTTTCCTGAGTTTTCAATAACTCGTTCTATTTCTGATTTCGGCACCTAGAGTCAAGACTCACATTCCTGAATACAGATTCCAACATAAATTGAACAAAAACACATTTCCTCCATTTCTAGTGTTTTTTGGATTTTTTAGTGCAAATCCAAAAAATTTGTTCAATCGTTTCAATACTTACACGTTAGACTCCTATCATAGTTCCCGACAAAACCTCGGTTTCATTTTTCAGTTTTACGGATTTTTTTCGAGATGAGTTACTATTCATCAAAACGAAAAGGCATGCAGTTTCTCATGAAAAATGTAAAATCTTATCTTGAAAATTTGAGATTCTCCGTTAGAACGCCTTGGGTTATATTTCTATCAGACTGAACAGAAGAAATTTCGACAAAAACGGTTGATTTTTTAATTTTCTCTTGATTTTCTCTCTTTCTTCTTAATCGGCCACACTTAGGCAAATAAACCACCTTTGGCTTCAATATCCCACGTAGGCCCCTTTTTAGACTAATATGAATATTATAATAATATTTCTAATAATATCTAATATTACTTTCTAAATTAAGAGAAATTACTTTAATTCTCATAATTTAATTTTACTAATTCTATTTAAGTTTAACACTTAATTTAGGTGGTTCTGTGTTCCCCACATTTTTCTTGTCGAGACCTAACTTTCTATTTTTCAAAACGAGTCTCTTTTCGGTACTGATAATCTCACACCTGGTACAGGTTCTATACTACTTTTCTGGACTGTCGAGTACCTTGGGTCAAACTTCTCACGTTCAACCCAATTCTCTTGGGTATCTCTTTAGTCAATTTCTTTTTCCAAAATTTTCATTTTAATTGATTCAGAATTGTCCAAAATGCGTACTCTCGCGGTACTGGTTTTTGAGTAGTTTCCCACTTTAACTGACTCGGAAAAATCTTATTTCAGGAACTTTTACTGTTTTCCTTACTTATAATATATCTACTATTTTTCTAACTGGTCATTTGATCACTTACCAAATATTTCAGTTTTTCATAACTAAAATATACTCGCTAAAATTTTTAACTTTTAACCATATTTTACTATTCATAATTGATATTTACGAATTTTCTCAGTAAAAATATTCGAATTATAACTTTACACTTGTTGAAAAATTTTACCTCATATATAAAGTTTCTACATAACTCTTCCTTAATCAAGCTGAAAATTCTACTACATACTGTTTAGGAGAGAATTTCGGTCAAATACTGGACTATTCAGATTAGACCTAAAATTTTCTCGGTCGTTACACTTTTCAGAGTGTCTTCTCAAGTGTGTGGTGTCGTGAATAGTATTACCTTGTAATTTATCTAAATAATATTTACATTAAGCTATATGTTTAGTATTGCCTTCATTGTCGATCTCCTCAATTGTGTCAAAGTGATCCCAAACTGTCGAGGTGCGATTGCATTTCCTCCTGGAGGTTGCAACACTTGCAGACGCAGACGCAGTCGCACTTGTACTCGCCGCTTCTCCACGCCTACCACCATTACAATCATGACCTCCAGTACGTCAACTGGGGCTCGGATTAGTAGATTCCTGCGTAACAAATTCATTAGTAAGAAATTATCCTTCTTCCACGTTGTGTTGGGCATCAACGGGAATACCACTATAACCAAAAGAATCTATTATAAAAAAATAAAAGTGATTTAAGAAAGACAGTTTTAGGATAATGTGATAGTTTTTAGAAAAATTGTGAGAGAGATTTGAGAGATTAAGAGAGATCGAGAGAAATTGAGAGAAGTTGAGAGAAATTGAGAGGGATTGAGAGAGTTTGAGTGAGAAAAATGTGTGGGGGATGTGGGGGTATTTATAGGGAAATTTTTAGGTTAAAAAATTGATTGTTTTTCAAAAAAAAAAATCAGGTGCAATGGTTACTTTAGGGTTTCGGCGGGTCGGATTCGGGCTGAAATTCTAGCAACAGTAAAAAAACTAGCCGTTGGATGGGTTTTCGGGCATTCGGGGAAATCAGGCCTATCAGGCTTTTTCGGGCTTCAGGTCAGGCTCCAACGGTCAAAGTTTTAACAGTTGGTCTGATTTTCAGGCAGTCGGGCGGGTTCGGGCAATTCGGGCCTGCCCGAAAAAATTCAAAAAAATTCCGACGGACGGCAGTTTACGGCGATGGCAGGCTCCAACGTGGTGTCCATTTTTGGGATACCCAAGCCCGAGCTCGAAAATAAAGTGTTGGATGGGCCGGCAATTAGGCTTGCCCGCCGACCCCGAAAAATTCAAACCTCAGGCCGGCTCAAAGTTCAAACACTATTTGAGATGACTTCTTTGAGCTCCGTTCTATGATCATAGTGCCTTTGCCTATTCTAGTGGGTTAGCATATGTGTAACTGTCGAGACTTCTCGTAAGCAAATCACTGAAAAAGATAGTTTCCTTCAAAGTAGAAAAAATAATTTTCTCCAACTGCTACCGTGTTACTAGTAATTAATATCACTTTTATTATTATTTTTTACTTTTATTATTTACACGTGAATTTAATTAACATGTTATAAAATTATTTAAATATAAAAATAAGATCATAAAGTTCACGTGTCAAATAATAATTATATAAGTAATAAATTAAGTGATAAAAAAAATGATGTTAGTATTTTTCTTTATATTAATTTTAATTTAAAAGATAAAATTGAGCTAGAGATAAAAGAAAAAATAAACACCTACGCGATGGTCAGTTGCCAGTCTTGTGTACAAATTCGTCTAATACTTGGCATCTGTTTTTAATTAGACTAATTATGCAACACATTTTAAAATTTATACGGTCAGTTGTCAATTTTTTTAAGAACTATAACGTTAAAAGCGCAATGGTGTAGAAAAAGACCCATTTATATAGCATTTACCAAATATAACAAAGTAAAAACGTGACCAAATTTTGATATACAATTGTGGTATTTTTTTTAGAGGTTAACAATTGTGGTATGTTCATTATATGTTATTTTTTCAACAATTTTTTTTTTTTATTTTGGTGTATGAACCATAATAACCATTGCAGCTTTAACTAGCTCCCCACTTAAAATTTATAAAGGAAAAATTAACTGTAATTTGTATTTTATACCAGCTCAAGATTTTAGTTTTCACTTATTTTGCTAAAAGCACCCCAAACTATTAAGAACATTTTCTAAGGAATTTTTTCAATAATTTACCATACTATTAGTTGTAATTTTTAACTGTTAAATTTAATTAAAATCACATTAAATTAAAAAAAATAAAAGACTATAGTAATTTCATTTTATAAGATCTACGAGAAAGTCCTTATTTTCTATTTCTTTTTGTTTTTTCTTTTGCTAAATCTTAATCATAAATCATAAATGAAGAAAAAAGAAAGAAATGAGGAGTCAGAGAAAAACAAAACGGAAGAAATGAGGAGATTAATTTGTAAATTAACAAAAAGTTAGGGGCAAAAATATAACTTTCTTTTGAATTTATTTTTATACATTATAATATTAATGGAAGTACTGTTCCCTAAAACCCCAACCCTAACATTTTTTTCTCTACCATCACCTTCAGTCTCTCACTCCTTCTCAGAGGTAGAGAGAGAAAGACAGTCAGATACGAAATTGGTCCCCCCCTCTCCCTCTCTCTCTCTCTCTCTCTCTCTCTCTCTCTCTCCTACGCGCTTCTGTTCCTCTCTCTAACCTTCATTCACCATACATACTATGAAACCTTGAAAAGAAAAGAGAGAAGAACCGCGACGACGATCTAATCTATCTGAGATGGGAAAGTACATGAAGAAATCCAAGATCACGGGCGATGTTGCAGTAATGGAGGTGTCTCTCTCCCCCCAATGTTCTCTCGGAGTCCGTACCAGAGCCAAAACCCTAGCCCTTCAACGCCAACAACAAGAAAAGCAACACCAGAAATCGATTTCCTCGCCGGACTTCGTCGACACCTCCTCCGACTCCTCCTCGTTCTCGTACCTCGAGCTCAGAAGCCGCCGGCTCGAGAAACCCCCACGGCTCGGCGACGCTAAGAGGCGGAATCACCAGAACCAGAAGTCGGCCATGGCGGAGCGTTGCTGCGGAGGAAACCCTAGCCCCCAAATTCCGCGGCCCAATTCGAGGTTGAGAGTGGAATCGGAGGACAAGGAGGCTGTGGCTTTGGAAGGAGACGAAGCTGAGGATTTCAACGAAGTCATTTTGGAGGCCTCCTTTGGGGAAAACAATTTGGACATCGAAGGCAGAGATAGGTATTAAGTTTTTTTTTTTTTTTTTTTTTTTTTTTTTGGTGTCCGTTTCTCTTCCTTCTTTACGACTCTGTTTTCCAGTACTTGTTCGTTACTTTGTTCCTATTTTCTCTTTTGTTAGTGTTTCTTTATCTTTCTCATGGGTGTTTTACTTTTTGTTCTTGGGTTTTCTGGTGTTTTTTAATTGGAATTTTTTGAGCCAAGTTTAACGTGTAGTTTCTTTTCCTTTGCCTTTTGGGTTTTTGTGATTTTCTCCGTTTCTCGTTAAAAAGGGATTTTGGTTTTCCAAAAGCTTTTTTTTATATAAAAAAGAAAAAGAAAATTACACGTACCCTTTCAAAAAAAAAAAAAAAAAAGGTTCAAGAACTAATATAGGTGTCCTGTTTGTTGACAGGGGGGGTTAATCTCTACTCTTCCCTAAAGTTCAGTTTTTTTAAGCGAAAGGCTCATGTTTTCAGGAGGCTTTTCTTTTTCCTTTTTCTTTTCCCTCCGTTATTGAACTCTAATTTCTATATATTTGATGTTTTCTTTGCCCTTTTTTTAACCTCCCTTGAGATTCTAACTTCTCAGGCTACTGAAGCTTTAATGAGTATTTTGACACGACCATATACACATGCGTGTGTATTCTAACTTCTCATGTTTCTTTTTCTTTTGGTCATTTACCATTAATATTCTACAGGTATCCTGTTACTTTTTTTTTTTTCATTTGTGTTCTAGTTTTGAAACTTGTTTACGAGCCGATTTACTAATTTGAGTTTTTAATTTAAATTAAAAATTAATTTTACGTGAAATTTTTTTTACTGTAATAAAAAAATTAAATATAATTATTTTTAACATTTTTTACTATAATAAAACTTAAATGAAAGGGATTATAATGTGGGACATGAAGTTATAGTTCCGTTTGATTTATGTCTTTTTGTGTGTTTTCTGGTTAAAGGCTCGGTCCGTTTAATAATTTTTAATTCTCAAATTTAAATTGAGATGTGATTTTATGTTATTATTTTTTACTATAGTAAAAAAATTATATATAATTATTTTTAAGAATTTTTTATTATAATAAAACTTAAATTCTAAATTTAATTGGTGGTATCTGTTTGTTAATTTGTGGCGTCTGTTTTTTGATTTGGGTATGCGTGGTTTTTTCACTTTCATGTGATGTGTTGAATTAATGAATTGAATTGGTTGTTAATGCCACATCATTCTGAGGCTGTTCTGTCTATATAACTGCTTACATAAAAGGTTAGTGACGTGTGACTTGTGAGAAGGTCTTTAAATGATTAAGGCTTTCTTTATTTCGCTGATTCGATTCTTATTACAGTAACTGTCTATTTTTTTTTAGCAAAACAAGGAAAAATCATGTCTAGTTTCTAGTTTTTATCACATGGCAAAACTCACCTAAAATATTATGATTCAATCAATTTTTTTCCTATATCATTGAAAACTGAATTAATGTTTCCTTAAAAAAAAAAAAAAAACAAAGCTGAGTTAATACATTTTTTCCGTGAGGTTTACTGGTGTTTTAATCAGTTTTTTCTTAATGGACTTCGTTAATCAAATTTATGTCCTTTATACACGATCTTCCTAGTTTTGTTGCACTATATTGGTTGATTGACTTGAAACATTTTTCCGCTCTAGTTTCGACATGGTGGGAAGAAAGGGGAAAAAAATAAATAGTTAGTGCGTTCTTTTGGCTATAAATTTACAAAAAAACTATACCTAGATTTGTTGTATTTTTTCCTTTAATACGCAAAACAAAGTGACCGGGACTGTTGTTTATCCCATGTTGGTAAAGTGCGTAATGTGAGAGAATTGGTAGCAGTAAGTTTTATTCCCCATTTGCGTTAGCTATGACATATCATATTCACGGGGCCTAGGTACTACAGGTACATCACTATGAAATATCTTCTTTAGGCCTTTCAGTAGGTGACAAAGGGTGGCAGATCTCATGCCTGTGTTTTTGGCGTTTGTCCAATTTAATGCCCTCTATTTTCTTTGGATTTACCTTACCTCCCTAATAAAGACATTGGGAGGGGGAAAAAGATGTCAAGTATCCTTTTCTTGTACGACGAGTGTGTTCATTTTCTTTATTTATGAGTTCATATGATTTTACATGCATGCCGGAATTGTTATGAATCTTGTGATAATCTTTTACTTGGTGATGTGTTATAATAAAGGAGCACGAGAGAAAGCACACCTTGTAGCTTGATAAGGGGGTCAGACACGGTAGGAACCCCAGGTTCGACAACGAGGCAAAAAAGTTATACTGCAACAAGCCAAAGAGTTAGGAATGACATGCAAAGAAGTATCCCAACAGCGCATGAGATGGACGAGTTCTTTGCCTTTGCAGAGCAGCAACAACAGAGAATCTTCATTGAGAAGTATACTTCGTTTCGGTGCATTATTTAGACACAAAGATAAACTTGACTGGTACTTGTGGCCCACCACACAGCTTCAAATGACTGATGAAATCCTCTCTTTTTTTTTTTTTGGTGCAGGTATAATTTTGACATTGTGAAAGATTCACCCCTTCCAGGAAGGTACGAATGGGTTCAAGTAATTCCCTGATGAGGGTACAATTTAATTGGAATTTGAGACCAACTTCTGAAATTCACGGTTGAAGCGGTTTCAATATTCCTTCAGAGACCATGTAACGTTGAGTTAAGAGGAGTTTAGATTAACAAGCAATAACTTTGTGGACCTCTAGAACCACTCCCAAAAGTAATATAAGATCATACTCCTTTGTTCAATAGAACAGAATCCTTTGAGAATATTGGGGAATAATTAGTTGTTCAGGTCTTTTTAATTCTATCATTGTAATTGTTTTTAGGAGGTATATCTAGCTACTAGATTTTCATTCTAAACCGTTGTCCATATTTAGGTAGGATAACTTCGGAAATAAATGTAATTGATTTCCTTTACCATATCTTTGTCTTTATTTGTCTTTTAATGTATTTTGCATTTTTTTTTTCTGTCCAACTGAGCAAATGAAACATAAAACTGAGCTATCAAATTTAATTATTGACGTTGATGTTATGCTATTAGGATATATGACATTAATTTCTTTTAGGTAGCCTGCTTGTTTAAGCACGATTATAATGTTGTTTGGGCCTTTATCTTTGCCAATTTTAAAATTTGGAAAAAATAAAGAATTTAGCTTTAGAGTGTATGAATTTAAATTTTTAATTCTTATTCTTGATAAGTATTTTTTTATTAGTGTAATTATTTAATTAAAAAGATTATAAATTAAGATTAAAAAATAAAAATTTTAATCTATACACTTTTAAGAGGTATTTATCGATTAATCATTTTATTTTCATTAAAAGTGTTATAATTAGGATCTAAGATATTGAAGAGGGAAAACTAGTCCTTTCGAATTGGCATCTTGCGTTTGAGAGTAAAAGCTTAAGCAGTTTTGGATTGTTTGTGTGGTGGAGTCGTACTTCTGAGCTACAGGCTCTGACACATCATTTTGTATGTTGTGTTTCATCGTTAGTTTGTTGAAAAAATTACCCCACTTTTTTCTCCTCCTGGGCTTTGTGGTGGTAAAAGCTGCTGCTGCAATTTTGAAATTAATTTCATTGAGACGTGGATGAACACAAAGACTATTGTGTGTGTGATTACGAGTTATTGGTTATTCACATGGGACGTCGTACGGTTCTGCTCTATTACCCAGCGTTACAGGTTGAGACATAAAATAATGTTCAACTTAGATTTGATGATGTCATCTTTTCTCTTCTATCTCTTTCCTTTTGCAGATCTTTTTGTCCAGTATGGTGCAAGTTGCAGGGATGAGGTGTTCAGTCTAATTGTATGCAATGCAAGCCACCGCTACATTTGGGGCTTGTTATTCAAAACCAAAAATAAAATAAAATAAAATCGACTTCTTTTGAACAGAAAAATAATTGAAATGGCCAAGACATAAACAAACTATGTGCTCTGCAGTGATGAGGTAGAATGATTCAAATCCCGGTATGCATAACCACTCACTAAACATAGACTAATACAAACCATTTTTTTTTTTTTGTACAATACGAGATTGAATCTGTTATCTCCTTAAATTCCATCCCATCCGAACTCTCAATGCTACTAGACCAAGCGGTGTTGGGCCAAATACAAACCAATCTTACAAAATAGTCTCTACATAGTCTCTAGATCTGCATTTATCCATGACTCGTCACAGGGTTACGTAGGGTTATGTAAAAAGCATGTGTAGGCCAATATCCCACACGATCATTTGATCTTAGCCGAAAGGCATATCTGATATCCCATATCTATTATATCTAGAATGTGACAGGACATCAATAATTTGTATCCGATTTTGTTACAATTGTAGTTGGTTTTTTTCCTCCCTTCTCTTGTCCGCATTCTAAAACTAAGACCAAGAGTCCAAGACCATTGAATCTGCTTCACAAGTGTCGACATCCCAATTTCAACCAATGATAGCGATGTGCTGCATCTCTCATCCCAAAACGTGATAGATAATACACATTAAATGCAGCTTCAAAACATGGACCATATCGGCCGTCGGTAAAAACACATGCAAAGATTTTAAATTTATTGAGAGGATCTGATGTTCTCCATACTACATAAAAACATGAGGGGAGATTCAAATCTAGACGGTTGTCGGTGAGTCGGTGACCATTTCAAAACGGGACAAGAGAGGTAAATTGAGGAGTAAGGCATACTAAACCAGGACAGCAACTTAAGCCACAAAAAAATAAAATAAAAAAGGACAGCAACAACAATACAACAAGATTTGATGTGACCACAACATATGAATGTAATGCATATCTTGAGCTTTGGCTGTTCAATTTGAACGACACAGTACACACCAGAGTAGGGGTAACACTTGGTTGAGGTCTACTATACATAGGGCTATAGCATCAGTCCAAGAGCAAGCTGTCCATTTCTCCTTTTTACAACAACAAAAAAAAGCCAACTTAACCCAATTACCGCAGTAGTTCTACTTTTTCTCACTCCCATTTGTATTTCCTTTCAAAGCAAATGATAGGTTGGGGTTTTGTGATTTGGTATATCATATATGATGCAAGAAATTAAAGTGAGCCTATCTTCAAGAGGTCATAACTACCCTAGCATACACAAATAAGCAAGTTAACAAACTGCACAAAAAAAGTAGAGTTAGAGTAGATTTTTTTTTTTTTTTTTTATCTGCGCAAAATAAAACTGCACCCACAAGATTTATTTTTTTTTTTTTCCGTTTTGCCTTGTCAGATGGAAAGATTACAGAACCAGTTTTTGCTGCACATGCTCATAATTCTGTCGAAAAGAGATGCACAATAGCAATAAATGCTATGGAGTTGCAGGCGGTAAATTTGCTGGGTTCTTTGTCTCTGCCATCTCAACTTCACATGCAGTCCTATCTGTCGTTGATTTTCCATTTTCCAATGCCATCTCTTTGATTTTCACTCTTCTTATGGCTTGTAGCTCATACCTGGTAACAAGCAACAAATCACAAATCAATTATAAAACTCTCACATAAAATCACATCTAACTCGAATTAAAAACTCAAATTAGCGAACTAAACGGCCCTTAAATTTCTTCCCGTTTAAATTCCTCAATCACATAAAAGACATACCCCGTCTTCTTTCTTGTTACATAAGTAGAATGAAAGTTACATTATTTGCGGAAAACCTACACCAATGTCTTAATGGATGTGCTCGCACTTGATGACAAAAGGGCATATGGAGTCGAGCACTTTTATTCATCTCTATGGGTTAAAATTCTGCTACTCAACTCACTAGATTTAGAGGTGGACCAAACCTAATAAGATCTAAAATATACTATTTTGTGAGTGATTAGATTTTATGGGGATACATCATTTTTGAATGGAGTCATAGCTTGTCTTCAGATGAAGCTAGATTGAGAAGCTGGTGCATTTGATGCCTAGCAATCAGGTATCTAATAGACTAATACTATAGGCATTCTACTCAACGTACAAAGTAATGATGAGAAAATTATCGAACAAAAAAAAATGATGTCAAGCAGAAAAAGAGCTAGGCATCTTGTTTGGCAACGGGTTCGGTAAAGTTACACATTTTGGGCGTGTTGTGATCATCACAATTGCTGTGCTCTGCTCATTAGAGCTGTTTTTCAAGCAAAAGGTGACATAAGCCATTGAATATGTGCTTGCAAGGACAAACCTTTCCCATCAAAGGAATCGTTCTGTGGCTGTGCATATTCAAAATAGGTAAGAGCGTGCACAAAATAATTGGAGAATTTGAAAATAGGTAGATTATATCACACATGATACAACTTTTAGTGCTTAAAGTTTATTAAACCCAACAAAAATCTGGTATAGATTTTCATTAGAACTTTTTAGGTAGAAACTGTTATTTTACCTACTGGGATGAAATGCTGTTTTAACCATCGGAATATGTGAGTAGGAGCCGTTCTATATCCTATGCTCTATAAATTTTTTAAGTGAACACTTAAAAAATTAATTACGGTTAAAATAGCCGTTCTTATGATTAAATAAAATATCAGTCTCCACAGTAAGCATTCGTAAATTTTCATACCAACTATAGAATTCTCCACAAAATAATTAATGGAAAGTAGTCAAAGTGTCAAACTCACTCGGCCACATGACTCTTCACAAGCGAAAAATATATTTTCCAAAATTGCCTTTCCTTCAAGTAACGTGGGCAAAGCTTATATCTAAGATGTGCAATTTCCTGAAAGATCAGAAATCACCAGTCAAATACTATTATATGTCAAAGATTACTGTTAAAACAAAATTTAAGCTTCAAGAAACAATATAAAATAGATTCACAGACTAAACAAGCACAGAGAAATAATATTTTTTTTAAAAAGAGATAAAAAGAAATAATAACTGAACCTTCACTTTGGAGAGAATAAGGATCGCGTGTCGCTCCTGCCATTCTGAGAGATCATTCCGAACACTGCCTGAAGAATCATCACCACGTTTACCTCCCGAATCATCTGTACATTGTCAATTCTAAGAGTGATTTTAGTAAAATTTGCGTAGATTAAGATAATACCATACTTAATTTGCAAGTAAGCAAACAACGAGTAAGCCAATTACAGAGACAATCGATCTTAACGAAGAAGTTTTTGAGTTAAATAAGCAGCTTATATTATTTCCCGGCATCCAAACAGAGCACAGACAACGAATTAGATGAAAAATGAAATAAAACCTGTTTGGTTGCTGAGAATACACTGTTAGAAAGGGGAAAAATTCGCAAAAATTTTCAATCTGTAACCTAAGTTAATTTGAAATAGCCTTGCGAAAGTAACAAAACAGGAACAATAACAATTCTGAAGTGGCTTTCGAAATTTTCTCGGAAAATCAGCAAAATATTTACCTGCGGAAGGAAAATTCTTGAAGGTTTCTAAAGTGAAGGACTTGACGTAATTGATCAATTGCTCTGTAACTCCGAGTATGTCCTCGTCGTCTTGGACGCGTTGGTCCGAGAGACCTGGGTTTTTGGTCTTTTCAGTGTCCTTGAAAAAGCTGCGTCGGAACCACGAACCGTCCATGGGGCGCCGATCGTCTTCCCGTGAAACGAAGAAAGTGAAGAGAAAAGATCCCCTACGGAGTGCTAATCTGGTGCTTTTCGGCCTATCGTATTATGGAAGGGATACACGAATAAATGTTTGTTTGTTTATTTTATAAAAAGATTGAAGTAGATAAAGTAATATTCAGTTGTGAAATAATAACATGCGGTAAAATATTAAAAAAAAAACAGAATATGAAAATGATATTCTATTTTAACTCAATATATTTTTATTTATATTTTCATTAGAATTATGCACAATATTTTCATATGAGTAGTATGAGAAAGTTTGTGTAAAATAGTAGTTAAATGGTTATAATTCATACAAATTATTTATATATTTTTATCTGTATAACATAAAAAAGTTGGTGCAAAATGGTGAAAAAAATCGGTGAATAACTCATTTAAAAAAATAAATAAATAAACATAATAAATAATTAAAATTATGAAAAAAGAAATGATTTTAAATCACGCACGTGATCTATTTAAAATAACTAATATGTAAATTGTTTAAAAAAAGAAAGAAATGAAAGGGAAAAAAATGCATAAAAGAAACGTGTTAGAGTACGATGACATGAATTCTATTTGGTCTGGCCCAAAGAACTCGTGGTGCGACATATGTGGCAGAGCTTTAATAATGAAACTTTTTAGGGGTTTGTAGTGGTAGCGAAGAGATCTGGCCGATAGGCCCGTATGGACCTATTTTGTTTAATTTATTTTTTAATTTAATTTAACGTCATTTTATTTTATTTAGTATATTTTTTTAATTTAATTTGATCATTTATAGTATTTTTATCTAAGTCGTATCAAAAATTTCGTGCAAAATGGTGTTAGAGCGGATAAAATCGAACTACAAATCCATTATAAAGTAGTAATTAAATATAATAAATAATAATAATTAAAAATAATTTGGGATTTATCACATGACGTTCAATCTAAAAATTCAACGATTGCGATTGGTGCGTGAAACACACGCAGAAGAAGACGCGCGTCCAGAATGTAGCATAAGACAATGGTGTCAGCAAAACTAGAGGTGGGCCCTGCCACTTGCTTTATTCTTGTGAATCATAGTGCGGCACGTGGTTCAGCTGTCGGCCACAATAAGAGATGAACGAGATCGGTTGCTTCAGTTACACATGAGCACACTCTTCTTAACCATTAAACCATTGACACGTGGCTACGATTTTATCAGGCGGTCTGTATTCTGCCGCGTGGAGAGCACTTAAGAAGATACGCAATTGGGTTTCAACACGTGGTTTTTTCGCTGAATATCGCCCCACACAATCATTTTCCACCCGATAAAAAAATAAGTCGCCAGTATAAATGACTAAAAAGCACAACCAAAAACAGCTGAATAATATAGGAAACTGAGTGCAAAACGGTAAAATCAATACTAAAAGGACAAATGGACAGAAGGGACCGGGCACTGTTCAAAGAATAGTAACCCTTGTGCCTCCTTTAGTAGTATGTATAATATATGAAATTTAGATAAATGACTGTCTCATTTACTAACTTGTAAAAGATTTGAGCTTAATTGGCTAAATTAGTTGAATGTACTTTAAAAAAATTGACATTAGCGGGTATCGCAGTTGTCTGCCGGATACCGTATGTTGGGTATATTTGGTAGTGATTTTTAAAGTCCAAAATCAATTCTCTAGCCATCCACAGCTGAAATTTGTGTTTGGTAAAATCCATAAAAAGTGATTCTTAAAGAATTTTTGAAGAATTTACAGTCAAAATCAGAAGTAGCTTAAAGACAACTTTAACTTTTAGATTAAATGACCTTGAAGTATAATTAATGAAACTTTCATAATACTCATAATACCTCCAGAATCAATATTTGTATAATTACAGTTTACTAAATATTCAACTGCTTTTTATAATAATTTTTTTTTCAACACAACTAATAACAATTTTTTAAAATCTACAACACTACCAAACTAACTCATTATCTCAGTTGGATATTGATTTTGTGGTCGAGTACTGGCGAGTTTCTCAGTTGCATACTTATATCATGACTGGAGACTTATCAGTATTCTAAAAATATATTTAATATTCTAAATATAATGTGAAAATATGCCTGTGATATTCTCTATAACAGATTATAGGCACGTTCATTTCACCGATTCGAGTTTAGAATTTAAATTTTACTACAGTAAAAAGCTCTCAGAAACAGTCACATCTAACTTTTTTTTTACTACAGTAAAAAACTCTTACATAAAATCATATATTAACTCAAATTAAAAATTCAAATCAACGAACTAAACAGATCATATGTCTCTCAATCTAAACCAACAACCTGCATTGTGTCTGTAAAGTCCCCGAGTAGATGACCAGGTCTAATTTACACGTAAGGACCTTAGTCTACAATTGAATTTTTATGGGATTTTGGGCCCAATTTTCTAAAGACGCCGCACTCATAGACATATCCATTATACGTGTGAACTTTCTGCCTGTTATTGTTAGGGAGAATTACGAAAATAACATATTTAGTAGAATTTTTAGTAAATTATAATATAATTTAATATTTTAAGTTTTAAATGTTATTAAAAACTAAAAAATATTATCCAGTTTTGGCGACACGCGACCGGCTCTTATGATCGTTTTTTGGCGGTTGTCTCCGGTAAACATTTTTTGACGACAGGTAAATATTATATTTATAAATAATTATTATA